ATTTTTCCTGAATTTTCGGTTTGTTGTAGACACCTTTAAGTTGAATAAAATTTAATTTCAATTAAACATTTAATTCTCTTGCATAATACTTTTACACAAATTTATTTAGGAATGTTCATTCATATCAAAGATTGTAAATGCAATTCTTTTATTATGTAGTGTGAATTGCTGCGAAATAAAATCAAATTTTGAAAGCTAAGATCTGCTGGACTCTGACACTATTTATGGATCACTATCTGAAGATTCGTACGTAAGCGATAGTGAAGATGTAGATGATGGTTCCACAGACAGGGATACAGATGATGATATTCACAACGATGACAATAATAGAAAGTCCTTTCAAGAGAAACTTCGAAATTGGGCTGTATTATTCCACATTAGCCTTATTGTATTAACTGCTTTGCTTTTGCTGTTGAAACCAGTAGTAAACTTTCCTTTACCATTAGATGGAAGAACTGTGATAGGAACAATGAGGGATGTGAAAATTCTGCAAATGAGTGGTGGTACATACCATCATTTTGGTGTCGAAAGAGCCGTAAGAGGAATTTTACGAGAATTTCAAAGCAAAGGGAAAACAATAGAACAAGTTAAATTTGTTTTCAACATCGATGGCCTACCAATATCAAAGTCAGGGACCGAAAGTTTATGTTTAATTCTTTGTTCCGAAATTAATGGGGACGCAGTTTATCCTGTAGGAGCATTTTATGGGAAAAAAACCTGAGGATGCAAATGAATTTATGAATGAATTTGTAAAGGAATTAATCCACTTATGTAACCACGGTTTAGAAGATATCAATATTTTAATATCCTGTGAGTGTATTGTTTGCGATACTCCGGCAAAATCTTTTGCTTTTTACTTAAAAGGCCACACGGGATACGGTAGCTGCTCCAAATGTGAAATTGGAGGGACTTACATTCCGCGAAAAATGGGGAAGAAAAAGAAAAAAGGAACAGTGTGCTTTACAGGTACTAAACCATCGAAACTGAAGACCGACAAGAAATTCAACCGCAACGATTACCATGATCTGGAAATAGGAAAAAAAACTATTTTGACCTCAATTCCAGATTTTGGTTGTGTATCAAAGGTACCTTTGGATTACATGCACCTAGGGTTACTAGGTGTTATGAAAAAGCTCATTCAATTATGGATAAAAGGACCATATAAAATCAGATTAAATACACGAGAAATAAATAACATTTCAAAGAAATTGTTAACTCTTCGTCACAGTGCACCATGCGAATTCGGAAGAAAACCTCGTTCTTTGTGGGAATATTCTCATTGGAAAGCTACAGAATTTCGGACATTTCTTCTCTATACCGGGCCAGTAGTTTTAAAAAATATTCGAAAAGATATATATGGGAATTTTTTGCTTCTACAAACTGCAATGACAGTGTTAACCAGTGCCATTCACTTACAAATACCTTCAAACATTGATGCTTGTCACAATCTCTTAATAAGATTTGTTGAAGGATTTCAAATTATTTACGGAAAAGAGTATGTCTCTCACAATGTGCATAATTTGCTGCATTTGTGTACTGATGTTAAAAAGTTCGGTCGCTTAGACAATTTTAGTTCATTTCGGTTTGAAAACTATTTGTCATCCGTAAAGAAGTGGATAAGGAAAGGAAATCAGCCCCTTGAACAAATCGCTCGAAGGTATTCAGAGCGGGAAGATATTTTGAAGGACTCGAAAGAAACATGAACGATTTTAGAAAATCCTCATCATACCGGACCTTTAACAAAAGATGATGTCACTGTAAAGCAGCAATATAAAATCTTACGCAACAAGTCCTTTAAAATAAATTGCCTCAATTCAAAAGATAGTTGCATTTTATTAAAAGATGGGACCTTTGGCTTCGTTAAGAATATTATAGATTGCAACATTGGAACACGAGTAATAATAAAAAAAATCAATTCTGTTTCTCCATTGTATGAAAACCCAGATTCCAGGTACATTAACATTCATAAAGGAGTTTTTTTGGAGCAAGAAGAATTCTCCATTTCGATAACACAAATTTTATGTAAAGTGTGGAGAATACCCACTTCAACAGAAATTATACTTCTGCCTTTATAACATTTTGCATAATTTAATTTAATTAATTATCAAATATGCAAAATGTAAAATTTTAGGTGAGTAATAATATAATATAATTATGTAATAATAATAGGGGAATAGTGTCAGGGTTGGACACAGTTTTGGTTTTTTGTTTATAAATATTTTGTTTAGATAAATTCAGTCAATTGTGGTATATGGGTAGAAAGATCTACAAAAGAGGAACGCTTTTGCTGTGGACCGTAAATTGATTGGTCCAAAATTAAAAAAGTTATAAACATTTAAAAAAAAAAAAAATCTAGTCAGGGTTGGACTTTTCAGTCAGGGTTGGACACTTTTTGAAAATCGAAACGCATTATTGGTAAAAACGTAAAATAACATTTGTAATGTTTTTTATTCTTTTTTTTTCATGTTTATCTTTACTTATTGTTTACAAATTGTAAAGCTTCATGGGTTTAAAAAAGGAATGAACTCAAATTATAAAAAATAACGCTTTATTGTTCCAAATAACTCAATGAAATGATGAACAAAATTTATACAATTTAAGTATTATTTTTCTAATATCTTTGGCACAATTTTGCACTGAAATATCAATAAAATAAAATTTATTTATAAATTGTGTCAAATTCATAATTAATATGGGTGTCCAACCCTAACTGTATAAAGTGTCCAACCCTAACTAGAAGCATCATTTTCGAATTGTGCTAACCATAACTAGACATGTGTCGCGATTCGATTTTTCACTTTTTTTCTTCTTAAATTATGTACCCCACAATACATTCAATAAGCTTATCTTGCCGAATTCTTGCTTTTTTTACACATTTTTTAGGTTTATTCACAAGTCAAACAAAACTTTTTTTGTCTCTTCGATTGCACCGAAGTCACAAGAGACGCTACTTTTGATTCTCCAAAAATGTAATGCCACAAAAAGTTAGGTTATACTACTAGAAGATTCGTCACGTACGCGTACAGGTGGCGCTAGTGTTCTTATTTAAAAAAAGCCAAGTGTCCAACCCTGACAAGTGTCCAACCCTGACACTATTCCCCTACATTTAATATGTAATTAATTTATTAATAATTCGTTTAAATTTTTCAGATCTAAAAATGTAACAAGTTCCAGTGAACTTTGAATTTTCAAAAAGAAAACTGTACAAATTCAAAGTGGAAAGCTCAGAATTCACTAATATGCCAATCTTTCAATCATTACGAACGAAATGTTCTTGGACCTTTAATAATTTCAGAAAATGAAATTTACAGGGAAACTACAGAGTCTTGAGAATGTATTTGTGACAAGATCCTTCCATTACGTGATGTTCATCATTCAACTCTTTCAATGGTATTTAAATTAATTCTTTTATAAAACTTTTATTTCATTTACAATTAAATTTAATAAAAAATTTATTTATGAATTTTGAATTTCATTCAACTTTTAATTTTTTGAAAAACTACTTTTAATTGATAACTTAAATAAAATTTAAACTACAATTCTTACTTTCAGGTATATTTGACAGTTAATTTTAAATTTTTTACACGCCAAAGTTTTGAGCGAAAAAGAGTGTGATGTCCATATATTTTTTCAATTTTTGTAATACATATTAATTGATAAACTTCACCTTCTAGTTTCTTTTTGTGATTCTTTTTATTCCTTAGTTATTTGTAATCTAGCTGAAATTTGTTTTATTCAATTGATTATATTTTTTAAAAGTAATGTAAATGTTGATAATATATTTTTAAAGTATTCCTAACCATCTTTGAAATTCTGTTTCATTTATTAATTTTGATCAAAGTTTTGAGAAACTGCGATACTTTCTTGTAAGGAAAGGTTAAATTTCCAAAATTTGTAGGGTAGCAGTGAGCCGCTCACAGGCTGTCACTGCTACTTGACTGGTAATAGATCGTTCGTCCGAGCGTCGGTCGAGTTATTTGATCCGGGTATTCATATATTTTGTAACCGTAATCTATTTTTAATTTTCACGTAACCTTCAATTAGATTCAATCTTTATAATTTTAATATAATGTGAATGTTAACCGCATTATTTATTTATTAATTGTTCATCTAGGAAAAAATAGCTTGATGGTGTCCTGTTAAATGATGTTAAATTACGTTTGAGGCGAGATAATCAAAAGTCGTGTCATCAATTAAGTTTTGATATAATTGAAATTTCATTTAGTTAACTTTACCTACTTGACTTCATTAGGTAAAAACTTATTTAGTTATATTTATTTCTAAATCGTTTCAGTTTTTTGCTTCAATAAACTTGTAGCTTTTGCTTTTTTCAGATATTGTAATAACTTCATTTTGAGTGGCTTGCATAAACGGAAGACAAGAACCGTATTCGGTTCAAAAGAAATTTCTTTTTATTGCCTACAGAGACTGGAAGAAAGGCTATTAATAATTACTACAAGAAAAAATATCTTATTGATAAAGTGACATTTGTGCCATTTCTAAAATAAAGCGTTTAATAAATATTTAAGTCATTAAATTTAGTGTATTACTTAGTACCCTCCTGTCTTGCGACTTAATTATATGTTTAATTGAGCTTTTAATCATGGTTTAATTTCAATTCTAAAATTTTAATTTTATCAAAAATTGTTGAAAGAAACTTTCTAATTTAATTTTTCTTAAAATTGCTTTTTCAATTTGTTCAAAATTTTCGCCGCAAAAGTGCAAGAAATTATTTTAATTAACTTTTAGAAACTTTGCTTTTAAAATTTGTAGCAAGTTTGCAAAGCAAATTGGCAGAAATTTTTTTTGCAAACGTGCAACAAATTATTTTAATTAAATTTTAGAAACTTTGCTTTTAAAATTTGCATCAAGTTTGTAAAGCAAATTGGCAGAAAGTTTTTTTTGCAAACTTGCCACCAGGAGGACATTTTGCCATTTGCCACAAGTTTGCTGCAAACTTGCCTTGCAAACTTGCTGCAAACTTTATGCAAAATGTTGTGCTATCTGGGATACCGCACACCCGTGGACGATACTTTATTATCCTTGTCTCTCACTTCACAGTAATCCTTGAAGGAATGAAAACAAAAACCCTTGTCGTTTACAGCTCCCACTGAAAATAAATTCCTCTTCAAACCAGACACGTAGAGAACATTTGACAATTGCTTATCGTAAAACTTTTCTTCAATTTCTACCTGAATGTTGATTGTTCCTATCCCGGCCGTTGGCAAAACTTTATTATTAGCAGTTCTAACATGAGGCACATTTTTCGAAGGCTGAAGAGAAACGAAAAAATCTTTCTCTGATGTTATGTGCATGCTAGCTCCTGTATCAGCAATCCACACGTCTTTGTCGTCACGTGGCACTTCAGTGTGTAATACTGAAATATCGCAAATGTAAGTCTCGGTGTAATTAGCATTTTCTTCATTCTTCTTACTCCTTTCTTTTTCATTTTTAATATTCATTTGTAGTAATTGCACTTTGTCCTCTTCTTCAATTCTCGAATTTTCTTTACTTTCTCTTCTTTATCCGTATCTTGTGAATTTCCAAATTTTTGTTCAGTTTTTCTTATATTGATCGAGTTCACCTGGAGAGCAAGTGTTGATAATTTTTCTTCAGTTTCACTCAATCGTTTATCCTCGCGTATAAGTCTAGCTGTCAGATTTTCGAATTCTTGGTTATCCTGTGGTGTGCATTCCCAGGCCATGCGAAATGCTGAAAATCGAGGTGTTATACTGTTAATCAATTTTGTGATCATTGCTTTTTTTGATGGCTTTTCTTTTACACCTTCAGGCTTCTTGCATAAGCCTTCAAACTTTTCAATTTGTAAATTGATCGGTTCACTATCAGTAAGTTTGAAGTCATAATAATTTTGCCAAGCAGTAGTCACTGCATCTTCATTCATTTCTCCGTAAAAAGCTTGCAATTTATCCTAAATGGCTTTGGGGCTCGTACAATTTATTAAATTTGGATGTAAGGTTTGCTCTACCGAGCTCAATAGTATCACAGCGGCTTGTGACCTACTTTTCTTCCACACTTTCCACTCTTTTGGCTGATCAGTTTTGTCAGGCTCAGTATCTGTTCCATCGATGAAATCTGTCAGGTACCTTGAATCCAATAAGAATGATACTCCAAACTTCCATAAATGGTAATTAGTACCATCTAATTTTATTAGGTTCGTCACTTCTTTTTCGGCCATATTCGTGTATAATTATAACTTTATATGGCGAGCACTTACTAACTTCACGCACAGCACAAAATGTTTTATAAATAGTTCCTTTTCACTTTACTTGCGGACGAGGCACTTTTATTTCTGTTTTTTTTGGACGCAGTGGAAGCGTGCTGGGCACATAACCTGTTGAATTTTTATTCAGGTTAGGTGTACTAGCAACAAGAAATAAAAGATACTCGTACAATTAACTTAAGTTTATTTGAAATATTGGAAATATATATATATATATATATATATATATATATATATAGATATAAGAGTGTGAAGACCGATACAAGTTTACCCTTCGAAGGTTTCACTTATACTACCTAAGTTTTCCGAAAAAGGTCTCATTGCCCGGGCCCGGTCTCATTTAACAATTTACCAAGATAGAATATTTTGTACATTTATGGAATCTAAATACAAAACTTAACAACAACTTCACTTACTTTTTATGTTGAGTTTAACCCTGGCGGATTGGGAAAACCGAGTTGTAACCGAATTGGGTTACGATTCGGTTACGTGTCGGTTCATTGTGAAATATTATCGTTAATCGACGAAATATGTAGTAAATAACTATTAGGAATGGTTAATATACATTTAGAGCTTATTTATGCAATAATAATAATAAATTAAGATATAATTAATTAATAATACGTGTTTTAAGTGTACAGTGCATACAGTTGTTGAATTACCATATATATATATGTATATTACCATCAGCGGCAACTGTGATACGCGCGTTAAACTCTAGGTGGCGTTAAGGATGACTTTGTGAATGAATTTCTAAAATTAAGCCCTTGAGTTTTTTTTATTCTTAAAAAAATTTTTTTTATTATTATAATAATAATAATTAAACAAATAACAAAAATAAACATTTTTTTCTTAATAAAATTTTTTTTTCATCAATAAAATGAGAAAGATTAATTTTGAAGAAAACTTTTTCCAAAAAAATTTTGTATTCTTAAAAAAATTTTTTTTTATTATTATAATAATAATTAAACAAATAACAAAAATAAACATTTTTTTTCTTAATAAATTTTTTTTCATCAATGAAATGAGAAAGATTACCTAATTTTGAAAAAACTTTTTTCCAAAAAAAATTTTTTATTCTTAAAAAAAATTTTTTTTCTCAATGAAATGAGAAACATTAATTTTGACAGAAAAAAACTTTTTCTCATTAAAAAAATTTTTGTTCGTTATAAAATTTTTTTTTTATATTTGTACAAATCAAAAAAGTTGTTTTAATAAATTGATCTATTTTTTTAATACTTATATATTCACTTACACATTTGACACACAAGGCCTAAATTTTAGAAATTCATTCACAAAGTCATCCTTAACGCCATCTAGGGTTTAACGCGCGTATCACAGTTGCCGCTGATGGTAATATACATATATATATGGTAATTCAACAACTGTATGCACTGTACACTTAAAACACGTATTATTAATTAATTATATCTTAATTTATTATTATTATTGCATAAATAAGCTCTCTAAATGTATATTAACCATTCCTAATAATTATTTACTACATATTTCGTCGATTAACGATAATATTTCACAATGAACCAACACGTAACCGAATCGTAACCCAATTCGGTTACAACTCGGTTTTCGCAATCCGCCAGGGTTAAGTAATAGAGTGCAAAATTTTGGTAAAACGATTTTAAACAAAATTGCACAGTACTGCCATATTACCAAATAATTCCTCTAATTGAAAATTGGTCTGAATAGAAATTCTGTCAAATGATAATCCTTCTAATAAATTAATATATTTGATAAAATTGTTTGCAATGAAAATTGTAACTAATTAATTTTGTGGGAAGAATCGACGTAAATTAAGAATTTTTTTTACATTTTAAGCATCCAATAAATGAATACCCAGATCAAATAACTCGACCGACGCTCTGACGAACGCTCTATTACCAGTCAAGTAGCAGTGACAGCCTGTGGGCGGCTCACTGCTACCCGACTACCATTAGAGCGTACGTCCGAGCGTCGGTCGAGTTATTTGATCCGGGTATTCAAATGTAATTAATTCAATTTCTTATTTTAATGATTTTTTAAGAATTAAATATATTTTCCTCAATTTTTATTTTTCGAATAACAAAATTTTTGTTACAACTCATTTCTATTTAACACAATTCTAAGTTATCAAATTATTGTATCGAAGAATTTCTCTTTTATACATTTATTATTACCCAATCAAAAATTGAACTACAGCGTGAAATAAAATTCACAATGGTAGGTGCTTTACGTTAGTACTGCGCATCTTGTTCAGTTATTTTTTTACCAAACATTATATTTAAATGTTCAGTAAACCCACACAACACATGATATTTCTAAATTTTTCGGAAATATTTAATTGAAATTTTGAAATATTCCAATGCGAAGACCTTGAAATATTGCTGAAATTAGGGAAATGTCCGCCTATAGGAAATATTGCCTTGTAATTTTGCTGAAATATTTCATTAAAATATTCAAGAAAGTTTCCAACATAAATGATGCGCATTGGTCGATCTCAGTTTCTATGGCTTGTACAGCTGCGCAGTATTTTTTAATTTTCTAGCATCCTAGGATGTTGATCATGTCAGATAATAATAATTGATTTCATATTTTAAAATGTTTCTAACTTTCTTTGAAATATTTCTTGAATATTGCAGAGTCTTCATGTGTAATATTGCTTGAGTCTTCGAGTGTAATATTTCAGAAAACTTGCATGGCAATATTTCTTACAGGCGGACATTTTCCGGTTTTCATCAACATTTCATGAACCTTGCATTGAAATATTTCAAATCTTTCAATGAAATATTCACGAAATGTTTAGGAAATATAATGTGCTGTGTGGGAACCTTCACGCCCAACATTTAATTTACATGTTAAGTCAACTTTTGCTCTAAACATTTTACCATGATAATACGATATACAACAATTCACATAAAAAAATCTTATATTTAATAAAAATGTTCATAATTCTCAACATCATGTACAGCAGGGCATAAACTGGAAAACTACTTCCCATTTTCAGCATCAACCATTGCAAATCTACTATAAATTAAAATTCGTTAAAATAACATTCCGAAATTATTTTAATAATCGTAGATACAATGAAAAATTCAAAGAATAAAAATATTTTCATTACAAAAATTTAATGCAGAATAAACTGGGAACACTTTTCGCGTTTTAGGCTTCAACAATTGCCATCCTACTATGAATTTATACTCGTTAAAGTAATAACCGAGTCCATGTTAATTCTTATGGAGAGAATCGAATTTTTGACATTTGCACAGCTCTAAATAAAATGCATCATCTGACATAATTCGAATTTAAAGTTTTTTAAGTCCTTAGTTGGCATCTCAATAATTGAACAAGAATGTAGTAGAACATCAATAGAAGTGATTACAAGTAGCTCTTCATGAATTATTAGCAAAAAATTTTGAAGCAAATTTTCTGTAAGTTTACAATGATCAGCAGGCAAGTTTGGATGACATCTTCAGAAATTAGCAAAACGTTCGTCTCGTGGCAAGTTTGTAGTGAAAACTTGCTGAAAATTTTCAAAACAAGTTTGCCTAATGTTTTTATGCAAACCTCCTTTTAGAAAAAAAAGCTAAAGAATATTGAGCAGTTTTAGCTGATTTTGCTATGCAAATTTGTTGCAAACTGTTGTGTTATGTTGGAACATATTTTGGCTAAGTTGATACCAGTCACAGGGGTTAAAAGACTTAAAGGTGGGAAAATAACGTAAACAAATTAGGGTCAGCCGGGGTAAATCCGAACGCTAATTATTTCAGCTTAATTAAAATTTTTAAAAATAATTTCGATATGAGAAATTTTACCTCAGATCCTCTTCAAGAGATTCTAAGTATTATCCCATTTTTCGTTTGTTAATTAGCAACAGCATAAACAAAGATAACGAGTATTGCAAAAAAGATTGAAAATCAAAGATGACACTCTTTCAGTATTTTGTCTCGTATTTGAAGAAAAAGAAGCTAAAAATTTATTTTATTATTTATAATTGTTTGTTATGAATACTAGAACAGAAACTATTTTTGATTTTTGCCTTCTGTAAAATTTTATTAATAATATCAGACCGTTCGTATTTACCCAGGAAAATTGGAAAACCGGGGTAAATCCGAACGGTATTTTCAATAATTTTTTTTACATCAGAGCCACACAAAATTGTTTTTATTTCATTACACTATTATTTTAACATTATAAAAGTACATAGAAAAAAGTTTTTCTTTCTAT